ACGATATGGTTCATGGGGTCATGAAGAGTCGGACATGACTTAACGACTGAACAACAACAACTGTGTTGACATTTGTCAGCATTATGCTTATGGGCCATATCTGATGTGCAGATATGGGCAGATACTTGGTTTTAACCTGGGCCTGCTCCTGTCACTTATAAAGCAAAAGATTGAAGAGACAAAACAGCAAAAAGGCATTTAAGTGGAATTTCCCAAATCAATCAAAGTGTTAGCTCTACGCAGCCTCTCTTTCCTCACTGTTCTTTCAAGAAAATATAATATCCAAAATTATGTTGGCTGGACTGCTTCTGAATCTGTCTCCTATTTTTAGATTCTTTATGTCATATCATTCATTCATTCATTCATTCATTCATTCATTCATTCATTCATTCATTTCCTAGTTAGCTTCTGTTTTTCTTCCAAGAATTTAAGGCAGAATACATAGCACAACCTCCTCCAACTTTTTTCCCCACAATAGGCTAGTCAGGAAATTTTAGGATGAGATATGACAACTGGCCCAAAGTCACTTCTATGGCTTCTATGTGTAGACTTGAATTCAGATGTGGCCATGAACCTGCACTGAACTATGGACTTTTCTCAAGTTTATTCAGATTTGTTTTAAAGTATCGGTCAGTGAAGTAACAGTAAATTGTTCATCATTATATCAGGGAGGGCTTAATGACCATTTATCAAAAGGAAAGAAATAAGAATGCCTGTTGATTAAAAAATACCTAATGGAAGTGTTTCACCTTCCTTACTCAACTGGAAACCTTACAGCAACCATGTAATATAAGTTGGTATTTCTCCTCAATATTGCAGATCCTTTATGGCTTCAACCTTGTCGGTTCCCTATGATTCGTCTGTCAACTGTTTTAGAGAATATGTATATTACATTGGCATAATTGGATAATAAGAAATAGAGAGAATGTAGCATACTTAAAAAAAAAACAAAAAAAACCCTTATAAATTTGCATTCCATTCTGGCTACAGCTACCCTATCTGGATTGCAAACCTCTGGCCAACTTTTTCCAACAATCAGTAAAAGATTGCTGTTAGCTAATTTTCTATTATTTTTCTGTTAGTTTTCAACTGGACATTTTCACTAAGCTCGTACAACTGAACTGTTCCCTAAACTGTGGTAATTTATGCTAGAAGTAATCTTTCAACGTAATTTTCTGCCAGCGCAAAGAGGGGTGGAGTGCACTGTCACTAGGTAACAGGGAAAAGTCCCGATGCTTCTGTATAGCTCTATAGTCACCACTGTCTCTTTCAGAAGTCATTGGCTGTTTCCATTCCTTTGGCCTGATTAATTTTTTTCCCTAGAGCCAGCTATGCAGGCAAAGCTTAGGCTCTCAGTATGTGGATGAGGGGGGATGGTTGGATCTGTTACACTATGTTCAGATTTGTTGGGCCCTGGGAAATGTTTTGAGACAAGCCAAACCTAGTTTGTTGGGCTCCCCTTGAAGCAAAATAGAACTAGGCTGCTGATGCATAATATTTATTTATTTATTTATTTATTTATTTATTTATTTATTTATTTATTTATTAAATAATATTGGAAATACAGGAAAGCCACTCTGAAACAGATCTCTGGGCAAGCATGGGCAAGGTGTAACTATTTCAGCACTTCAGAAATAATTCAGAACAAGTGCTATGGAGCACTCAGGGTGCAAACATAGTATTTATTGGCAACTTTTTAAAGCAGCTGCATTTTTCTGGGGATCTTGTGTCTGCACTGCGCAGCGGCCACATATCCTGAGAAAAGACATAACTGCTTTAAAGAGGTGCAAATTGGTTCTACATTCATAGAATATAGAATTCATATTCGCTTCTATATACACTCTAAATTACCTTTCTGGAATCTAATCTGAAGCCCTACGGAGCCCTAGTGATTAGTTATTTAGCTTCTTGTGGTTTCCTAAGAGATTCCTGCATTAAGAAAGTTACAATGTGACAGAGTTTGATGTTGTTAATGCAGTCATTATTGCCTCTTTGTTTCTTAGGACAGAAGGGGGTGTTTCGAAGGGTGCAACTGTAGGTGTTCTTCTGGACCTCAACAAGCACTCCTTAACGTTTTACATAAATGGGCAGCAGCAGGGCCCTCCAGCATTTGAGAATGTGGAGGGTGTTTTCATGCCTGCGTTAAGCCTCAACCGAAATGTTCAGGTAAAATTTTCTTCCGTGGATTAGATCAGGTCAAAGTAATAGTTGAACAAACAGAGAACAACAGATATGTACAGGTAGTCCTCAACCTATGACCATACGTTCAGCGACTGTTCAAAGTTACAACGGTGCTGAATAAGTGGTGGTTATGACTGGTCCTTGGAGTTCCAGCTGTCCCAGCACACCTGCGGTCACATGATTGCTCACACTTATGACTGGTTGCAGTGCCCCATGATCATGTGATCACCATTTGCAACCTTCCCTGCTGGTCTCCCCAGAAAGTCAGTGGGAAAGCTGGCAGGGAAAGTCACAAGTCGCTGGGGTAAGTCTCCCCACCCATGCACCTTCTCCCATCCCCTCTGCATTTGCACCACACCAGCCACTCACACACCCCCGCGCACCTTCCCTGACCTTCTCTGCACCTCCCTTACACCCTCATGCACCCTCCCCAACCTATGCCTGTCTCATACCCTTGCGCACCCAACCCATACCACGCCTCTCGTGAAACCCTTGCACTTTCACACACCTTCCTTGACCTGCGCTGTGCCTCTTGCGCACCTCCTCACACCCTCGTGCACTCTCCTTGACCCATGACTGTTGAAAGTTATGGCAGCACTGAACAAGGGAGGATGTATGGCCAATCCTTTGAGTTCTGGCTATCACAGTGTCCCTGCAGTCACATGATTGCGATCTGGGCGCTCAGTGCCCGGCTCATGATTATGACACTGCAGTGAGCCATGGACATGCAACAGATTTCTAACATTCCCTGCCAGCTTCCCACAAGCAAAGTCAATGGGGAAGCCGGCAGGAAGTCGGAAGTTGCTCCCGCTCCCACCGCTTTTTCATCTACCCACACTCCATAGTGCCTGCCCCTAGCAACTGTGCACCCACCCACACTCTGTAGCACCTGTCCACAGCACCCACCCCCCGGGGCACCCACACACCCGCCTGTGCTCCATAATGCCTGCCCATGGCATCCCTCGCCCACCAGTAGCTCTCACCCACAGCTCTCACCCATCGGCCTGCTTGCCTGGGACTCTCACCTCTTCCTGCTTAATGACCTGTGCAGTCCTAGGGTTATGATGGCAACCTATCATGGCAATCTAGGGACTACCAGGATTGCCGTCGCTAAGCAACGTGGGCATGTGACATCATGCTTTACGACCGCATTGCTTACAGATGGAAATTCTGGTCCCAATTGCTGTCCTAACCTGAGAACTACCTGTATCATGATTTAGTGGATGCTGGGAAAGTTACTTCTATTTTTTTATGCTCTGAAGTCCTAGAAAAACATTCCATTTCAATGGGTTCCTGCAAAACCTGCCAACGCTAATGGTTCCCTCCTTTGTGGACATATTTTTAGTTCTAAATTCTTGCTTCATCTTTTCCCTTGCAGGTGACTCTACACACAGGTCTGGAGGTACCTCAGACTGTAAGACCACCAAAGCTGCCAAGCAACTGAGCTCCTGCTACTTATATCTCAGCTAGATTTTATAATCTTTCTAAATGATCCGTTTTAAAAAACATATTCATAGTTGAAATCAAAATAATAAAAATTGATTATTAGATTTAAGGGTGTCTAGGGGGAGGTCAAAAAAGCCAAGATGGCCTCTGTGACCCACTTCTTTTTTACACGCATTATGTATGCAACACACATAAAAAAGGGGTGGGCTTCGAATCTGCCATTGCAGATGCCCTTTTGACTTTATTTTAGCCCCCACCCCAGTGGATGCCCCTGTTTAGATAACTCAGTGATTTCCTTCTTAGTTCTACATGTCTTTTACAATTTTATATTGTTTCAAGAGTGCTTATACCACCGAACTGCCTGTGCATTTTGGCTATATCCTTGTGTGAAAGCTTATGATCTGCCCCTCTAAAGGCAATCACATAAGTGAACTTTATTTAACGTTTCATTTTCTTTTCACACTTCATTTTTTTATACAGTGACTGATGTGACACATGCCAGAGAAACTGACAGTACTTAAGTGCTGTTGATTACAGCTGGAGTTAATCATCTTTAACCTTCTCTGGATCACATTCGTTCTGGGCACATTTTGCTTGATCCTGGTCTGTGGTTATGATATATTGACATAGAGGATTACAGCTATATCCTTTATGGCCTAATTGCTTGAAGGAGTTTAGGTATGATAGAGGATGCTGTCCCTGTGCAAATGTTTGGACTAAGCGATATCTAGATTACTTTGATTCCATAGACTTGGGCATGACAGAATAGAAATAGAAAGGATTGGGTTCAGTAGTGTAATTCTCATTCCTTCTGCTGTGAGTAAGGATTACACTTCTAAAACAACATATACTGCAAATCCCCAAATGTTTGATCCAGAGCATTGCAGCTTTCTCTTTAAATATCTGTTCTGGTAACTCTGCCTTCAACACAACACAAAAGTCCTACTGTGTTCCTGTAATTTGTGCTGACTTTGTATACCACATTTTAATCACATAATTTTCAGCCAGAACAGATGTGTAGAAGAAACCAAAGATCCACTCATATTTGGGGATATGAAGCAAAGGAAGCTCAGAATCCTTATCTGTTCAATGATAACACATCATTAATGTTTTGATGAATTCTATACTCATGCTTTCCTTCTTTGCCTTTTTGTCATTATTCCATTTGAATTCATCTGGCAAAAGGAACTTCACCTTGTACTTATATATACTTCAGCTAATCTCCGTGGAAGTGAATCACACACTTGCAAAGTTAAGATGTGATCAAGGGTAGCTAATCTTTTTTCTTCCCAGAAAAAAGTTGGAAATTGCTAATACATCCCTAATAAGTATCTTATCTTTTTCACCACTAAACCAAGAAATAGTGGTGTAATCAGTTATTTAATTCTGAACTTGCTAATTTTAGTGATCTCTCCCAAGATGTACAACAGGAGCAGTTATTGAGAATACACTTAATATTCTAAATGAACAGCAGTTAATCAAATAGAAAATTGAAGTAAATGTGCTTTACCTCTGTATTCAGCAGTATTAAGTTACAAGTTAAGCATATATTTAAATATTTGTTGAACTGCAGTAAAATCTTTTAGCTTTTTCTGATGCTAGTCAAGTGATTTTCTGTAATGGATTTTAGCAAGCCTGCAGCAAGAGAAGAGAATATTAAATCCTCTTCTCCCTCTGAGCTGGTTTGAACACCTTTTCCTAACAGAAGTGAGGAATTAGCACTGGCTGAGCAGTGCTCAGTTCCTGGTTTATATTAAACTAGAGTTCCTTGTTATATCCAAACCAGGAAAATCTAGTTTAATCATCAGTTAAAGCAAAGAAAAGTCAGGATTTGAATTAACTGGTTTGGTTTCCCATTTTGAAAATTAATAACTTTATGGATACCATTAGCTTACTAATAATTATCCTTCTAATGATGCTATTTAGATATGTTTCTCATTATGAAGATACATGTGCACACCCTACTTTTGTCAAACAGTAAATCAGGTATGCAAAAGCCTTCTTGTTGCTGAATTTTTACCATTTCAGACTGCGGGTGGGGGTGGGGGTGGTGGGAAGAACGCTTGAATGCTTCCCCACTTAATATATTCCTTATACACAGAAAGCTAGCATGTCAATTAAAAAGTTAGTTTAGATAGAATGTTTTCCCTGAGATGCTGTTTCACATATATAAGGGAATATTCTCTGTGGAGAATCATTTTCTTATCTGCACCTGAATGTTGCAGCCCAAATACAGCATAAGAGGCTTCTACTTAACTGATTTAGACCCAATAACTTTTAAAAGCCCAAATCATATGTTCTGTCTTGTTTGAAATTTCAGTGATGGTGCAGATGTAACCATATAATATTTTTAAGATAGACCTTGGGCCAGGTCAGAGTTTAAAACTTCATAGAATCCTCCTAGCATCTATTTCAATAATGTGTGGGAATGAGGAACCTACAAATACCAGTAGTTGCAAAATCCTTCATCTCCAAGTATATATTCTGTGCATCAGTTGCTATATTAGAGAACAAGCTCCTAGCTCAAATTTTGCAGATACTGATGCTTTGACAACTTTTGATAAAGTTGGAAGTGTTTCAGCAAATCTAGATCAGCTTTTCAGAATCAAAGAAATTAGGCAAATCACCAAAGTTGTACATATTTGGCTCCTAGTCATTACTCTTAATTCAGTCAATGATCTTGCGATTCTACTACATAGAATGTGTCTTCATTTTGAGGTGGAGGCTGCTATATGATCTACCTATGACTTTGTGATTGCCATGTTTACATCCACACTAGATTCTGAAGTCTAGGTGCAATACAGCTGCTATAATGACACAAATGCTTTTTTATGTGAATTGATCCCAATTCTTCCATAGCATAAAACACACCAGCTGGAATTCAAACATCCCTTCTGTTGGTATCCAGGGGAAGTGCTATAGCGGTGATGAGTTCTTGAAAAAGGATTGTGTAAAAAGAGCGAGGATATTAGGACAACCAGAGGACAGGAAAAATAGCATAATGCAATATCATTACTATTTCTTCCAGCTTCTGTTTCCAGTAAGACAAGAAGCACATAGACTGAGACTCTTTTTATACAGGGAAGAGCAAATGAAATTGGAATGAATGTTTCTTTCTTTTAACTGGAAAACTCTTTTAGAGAAAATGCTTTCTATTGGAGGAAAGAAACATTCTAATGAATCCATCTTGCACGGGCTGAAGATATTTCCTTGTGAAGGGCAGAAATGGTTTTTTGAGTGGTTTAATTATTAAATATTTATAGAATTATGATACATTTAAAGTAGCAAATGGCACTGCTCTGGTTTTTTTCTTGCTTAAAATGTGTCCTATATTTGTCCAGGATTTTAAATGTATTAATATTTAGTAGAGTTAGCTTCAAGCCTACCTCAACAACTTTGCATGTTGTGGACCCTGCTCACTGTGAACATGCCTTGCGTGAAGTGAGGCTTGGTAGGAAGAACAGTGATATTGAAAGTACTTTTCTATAGGCAGTGAACCCATTCTGCTTCTGTGAACCCCAAAGCTATATGGGTAGGGTCATAGGAAGTTGGGAAGGTGAATGGTGCAAATAGATGCAAGGATGGTCCACTTCTGATTCAAAGCTCATGCCCAAGCCAACATGTAGGCTAAGACATACCTGGGATAATTCATTGCACTAAGCCATAATGTGAACTGTTTGGCTTAGCTAAGCATGTTGTGTGAACCCAGACATTTTTAGCTTGTTGAATGAAGCATGGGTTCCATGGGTAAGCAATTCCTGGCTTGTGCACACACACAGACCCACACACTAGATGGCTGCAATCTTATGGATGGCTGTCAGATGTAATAAAATGCTTCAAAATCACTGGTGGGTTTAGTAGTTGCAGTTTAGCATGGTATGGCTTGTTAAGCTAGGCATTAATAAGTAATTAACATTTCTTATCTGGAGTAAAGCAAAATTGTTTTGAAGCATTATGAACTTTTCTTCAATTAATGCCCAGCAATCTGAATTCTTATACATCGTTTTTATACTCTTGCTGCAAAATTTTTATGTTTTTTTTTGGGGGGGGGGTACATATTTTTTTGTATAACTTCATATTGTATGCACTTGCACTATGCTTTTCTTGGAGATAATGAAAAACCAAATGAAAATGTGTGCGTTAGATACTGGAATTCTCCATTCTTGTTCAGAAACAAATGAATCATCCCTTTCTGTGTTTCCTCCATTGATGATTCAAAGAGAGAATCCAGTGACATAAATTCTCGGACATTGTTTTATCAAAACCAAGGGCCATTTTACTAGCAAATTCACAGATGCTATGCATGTTCACACAATGGCGTAGCAACTCTCTGATGACATGCTGCTTTCAAATATCAGTTTGTCATATTCACATTTTATATTTTATAGAGGAGATCCACTCTTAGGTGGATCTAAAACACTTAACATAAGAAGAAATCCTTAAAAAAGAGGTGTTAGAACAAAGCAGCCTGTGGCTTACTTACAGGTATTTGTAAGACTTAAACCAGATAATGCATGTGAAGCACTTTGAATGCTTGAAACACTATACAGATCTTAATTATGATTGTTGATGATTTTATTAAATCTACCTCTCCCATCTATATTCAGATACCTATCAGCAGAGTAGGAAACAGGAACTGATTTATGTAGCTAATAAAACTTTAGTTTTTTTCCTTTGAAAGCAATCAATATCATGTGGTATATGCACAAAGTAATATGGATTTTTTAAAAAACGCTAATAATAGATCAGTGATTACTGTGCTAGATGGCTGATATACATGAACGTTTTGGATATACACATTCAGGAGGTGCTGCAAAACTGCAAAAATGAAAAAAAAAAACTATTAAAGGAGTATAGGAACAAATCAGATTGAACAGCTGTTCTTCAGAGTCCATCTGATTTTTTTCTCCTTGTCTTTTTTTATCCCTCATTATTTTAGGGCATCAGAGTCAATGTACAGTAATGCAAAAAAAAAAAAAAAAGGCGGGGGGGTAATAT